TATGCTATTCAAACTCTGTGTAAAGCCCTTAGGGGAAATGACGGGTAGAATTGGGTGTCATCAGTAGGCTCACAGCACCCAGCTCCTTCTCTCTCCGTCCACATCTCTTGGGGTCTTCATCCACTGCCTGACTGCTGTGGTTAAATGGCCAGAAGTAAACAGATTGCAACTGAACCTTGCCAAGATCGCGGTCATGCTGGCTGGGAAGCCTGAGGTCTTGAGGAACACTGTACTTCCAAACTTTCGACGGGGTACGGCTGATCTTTGCCGACTCGGTAAAAAGTCAAGAGTCAGAGCGACCAAGCATTACCCCTGGAGAAGCAAAGGAATGCAGCTGCAAAAAAAATTCTTCCCCTGTAATTTAGCCTGAAGACGGCCTCCTATTTTGACTCAGTTGATCTGGGTTGGCAACTTATCTCTCATCCAAGCACTCACCAAGGCTGACCCTACTTAAGGGTCTGAGATCTGACAAGGTCAGGCTAGCCTGGGCCATCTGAGACAGGGCACATACACAATGACAACAGACCAAAAGTTCACATTACTTCCTCCCCTGGCACATGGCCTGCACTTCAGAGAGGCTCTCAGCTTATTCATTCCTCCACTGGCAGCTGTTTCAAGTTGGCCAACCTCAAGCCCCACTAGGCAAGGGTCTTGCCCACTTTCCTAAAACATGGGGCAGGTGCCAGAGTGGGAACAGGGCTCAGAAGAGCCACAGCAGGCATATCAAAGAGCTGCACATGACTCTGGAGCCACTGAGTACACCCACCGCTCAGGCTCCACTGGACTGTTTTGGATTGCTAGCTATTGGGGGGGGGGGAACATGCAGATCCTCGCAGAGGAGGGAGAGCCTGTACCTGAATAAAACATGGTCTTAAAGGTGCCACTGGACTGTTTTGGACCAGGGGGGCGGGGGGGTGCTCTGCAACTTACCTGGCTGCTTCTTGCTCTGACTGAGGGCTGTTGGGGGTGGGGCTTGTTGCATGTGCCCGCCCCCTGGGCTCTTCACTGCCGGAGCTCTGCTCCTGTGCACTCCTGCAGGAAATGACCCCTGCGCAAACCCCATTTTTCTCAGCCACATCATGCAAGAAAGTTTTCTGGTGCACCACCAGCTTAACACACTGTCCTATGCCCATGCCGCTGGGAGATTTTATTTATTTAGCTCCTTATAACCTCACTTTTCTCCCCAAGAAGAACCCAAAGCAGCTAACATCATTCTCCTTCCATTTTGTCCTCACAACCACCACCCTGGGAGGAAGGTTAGACTGAGAGCACATGACTGACCCTTGCTCACCTAGCGAGCTTCCACAGTGGAGTGGGAATTCGAACCTGGGTCACCCAGTTCCTAGCCTGACACCACACATGTCAATTTTCCTCACTTATACTGACAAAATATCCATAATAAAAAAACAGCAGTGTTCTAAGATTGCACTTCCCTGAATGACACAATTATTTCGGGTTAAGTACAGATACCCCATCCTCCCTTGCATCTGATCACACTGCCTGCCACAAGGCCTACTCCTCCTTCACCAGATAATGACCTGAAGCAAAATTCTAGCAGAGTTCTAATCCAGCATTTGAGACGGAATTACTTTTAAAATGTATGCGTACCCTTTCCAGTACACACACTAAAATAAGTATGAAGCAGCACATATACAGCTCAGTACGGAGACACAAACTGACTTGTACATACAGCAAGCACTTGAATGGAACATCTGTGCAGAACATCAGCTGGTCTGGATAGTGCCAGAGCTTTCCAGTAACTTTACCCGTGCAGAACTGAGGGTTGGTAGTGAAGACAAAGGTCAAAGTTTAATGGCAATTCCCCAATGGAAGGGAACTGAACTGGTGAACCAGCTCCCGTTAGTTATGAAGGGACCAGGGCTGCTATCCCACTCATTCCTCCTCAGAAGTCGGTTCCACTGAACTTAACGGGACCTCTGAACAACCATGCATCATATCGCATGCGGGTTGCCAACAGCCCGGAGGGGGAAAAACAGCCTGCCCCCTTTAATACAGGATTAAAGTAAAGGTAAAGGTTCCCTTGCTCGAAAGCCAGTCGGGTCCGACTCTAGGGTTGCGGTGCTCATCTCAGTTTCAAAGCCGAAGAGCCAGCGCTGTCCAAAGACGTTTCCGTAGTCATGTGGCTGGCATGACTAAACACCAAGGCGCACGGAACACTGTTACCTTCCCACCAAAGTGGTACCTATTTATCTACTTGCAATTTCTTGTTTTCGAACTGCTAGGTTGGCAGGAGCTGGAACTAGAGACGGGAGCTCACTCCGTCATGCGGCACATTCGGGTCTCGAACTGCTGAACTACTGACCTTCCACAGCCTGCAGTTAAATGTCTTAACCACTTGCTTAATACAGGATTAAAGGGATGTTATTTACCTCATGAAAAGTTTCAACTCTTCATTTTTTAAGTCTCTATTAAAGGGAAAGGACATTCCCCCCCCCCCAAGTCGCTGGCAACCTGAGACCACACCTCTTAAAAGCTAGTAAGTTTCCTATATCGTGCCCAATGTTTTTACAGTATTTAATGGCAATTATTTTAAATCAGTGTTTCCAGACAAGCGTTCTAGAAAATACAAATCCATCACAACATAGTGTTTGAGAGTTGTCATTTTACCTGACACACCCCGATCCAGAATACACTGTTAAAAAAATAAACACCACCTCATTTAGGATTAGAATACTATTATCGTAATTCTTTTTATGGTTCCTTTAACACTTCCGTCCTCTGATTTGTCCAACTGTTCATACTAGCAATGGTTGCAGTCCAGCACCCAATTAGGTTATTAAGGTCGCAGCCCTAAGACCACTCTCCTGGGCGTAAGCCCCAATAATTTGCTTCGGATTGCTCTGCAAAAAAATTCAAAAGGGACTTAGGCAGCCTAGCAGAGTGTGGGTTTACAGACACTCTCTAGCTTATTACCTTCAAGAAACAAGCAAGAACTGTGCAATACCAGCACACATCACAATCTTGTTCATGTTTACTTGGAAGTAAATATTTCAGCAGGCCTCTCTTCCAAATAAGTGCACGCAGAGTCGCCCTGTTAGTTAAAACAAGCTCCAAGCTTGACACGTCTGATTCGAAGTTGTACAGGGAACGTGCCAGCGCATTCCAGCACCGTTTGCAGGAAAGGATACATTAGGAGCACTGGAATAAAACTTGGCATAGCTACAAAACTGCATTTCCAAAGGCAGACCAACCCAGTCTGACCCAATACAGGTTTACTTAGATGCAACTCTACCCTTAGCCAGAAACTGAAATCCTACACACACTTCTAAGTAGATGCACGTAGCATTGGAGACCATCCTGTTCTTGCGAAGACACCTTTCCACTGTGATAGATTCAGGTGGGTAGCCATGCTGGTCTGAAGCAGCACGACAAAGCTGGAGTCCAGTGGCACCTTTAGGACCAACAAAGTTTAATTCTGGGGATAAGCTTCCTTGTGCACATGAAGAAAGCTTATAACCAGAATTAAACTTTGTTGGTCTTAAAGGTGCCACTGGACTCCCAACTTCTACCTTTCCACAGTGTGTGTTTGCTCTTGTCCTATTCTGGGGCTCCCTATCTTAGCAATTCCGAGGTATGGGGTCAAAGAGGTCATCTCCAACCAGCCTGACTTTTCCAATTGTCTTCAAGGAGAACTACTAGTTAGAAGAACTAATCTGTCTGCTGTTGATCTCCCCCCCCCCCCAACCCCAGCCTGGGAAGAAAAAAAGGTTCTGCCCAGAGATCTTGATAGCACAAGTCAACCAAGCAGGCTGGCTCCCAAAAGATGAAAAACTTAAGGGGGGCTTTGTTAAACCTAGCCTTTTTAAAAAAGCCTGCAAAGCCACCCTCTCTTTTAACAGGGGCAGGAGATAAAACAAGCGGCACAAAACCAAGGGGCTGATGATGAGGCGCATTTGGAATGCAGGGCCTACCCCCACCCCCACCCCCCCCCCCCGGGGTGCTGAAGGCCAGGGGGAGATTGGCAAAGGGGTGAGAAGTGTTAAAAGTAAACACA